CTACAATCATGTAAACCACAAAACAGATGATTTTTGGAAGTACATGAGAAGAAAAAAAAATGCTCGTGAGAAAAGGAAAGACAAACAAAGACTTGTATTTTTATGACTAACCCAACAATGGCACTGCAGAATAGGTAACATAAAATTCGAAATGTGAGCCTTGGTCTGTCGTTTCTGCAATTAAAAATATATGGTCACATTTGTAAGAAATCTAATTTCCCTTCACGTATACATGGATTTATTAGTGCATTAGTCTTAAAGATCAAGAGTAATGGACATATTACCAGCTAACTAGCTTAACATTCTTAAGGCCAGTACAAACAAACTGTGGCTAAGATGGGTGAGTTCAAAATTTGGTCTATCTGCGTGTTACCACCACCCTCCAAAAATAAGTAACTACTAAATCAAGAGATTGAGGGAACCAACCTTTCTATAAAATAGCCAATTGGGGCTATGAAAATGGTAGACATTAACAGCCGGTATGTGATAAAAACAAAAGGGTTGATTTCTTCTTCAAGGACTTTCTTGAGAAGAATATTCAATGCCGCAAGAGAAAAAACAACTGCTATCATTACTATTAAAGGTTTCCACTCATCACAAGTCTTCATTTCAGCAATGCAATTCTATTATATTTTCCACAGCTCTTGATGGGGCAGAGTGAAGCTTTCCCTTCCTTATATTTTTATTGGCAGAAAAAGTGATATTTGCAATGCCAGAGAGCCACCTGTGGATTTATTAAAAAAAATATTCCAGAATAAGTGGTAAGAAAGCAAGATTAAATTCTGTAGTCACGTCCAACACTTTAAGCAACCAGCTTTGACAATAGTTTAATATTTGTGCGATTCATTTTGTTTTCTTATGACCGATTCTGTTCAATATAAGGAGTTATTCCAGAATCACTTACTACTCATACAAAAATTTATAGGGTGATTCATAATGTATGAGGCTGATATTGTTAACTTGATAGGCCACGTGTTTTTGCATTTGCCTATTTCATCCATGTTTTCATGTTGTCCCTCTTCTTTTTCCCCTGTGGACAATTGAAGCTGCTGTAATTGGTGACGAGCATCTTTTGATGGTACTGCAGAAGAAATTGTTCTTCTCCCTCTATCATTTACATGGCATCTTATACTTTTCAGTTTTCATCTTTCCGAATAGGGTGTGGAGCAGCCGCTGCACAAAAATATACAAAGCCATAACAAATTGTCATTTTTCAAATCTTAGCTCAAATTGATCATTTTCAATGGCAAGAGAATATAAGCAGGGAAAACATTTAAAGCAAAATCCATGGTCCAATGAATTAAAGTTCAAAATCTTCAAGTGGCATGGCTTACGAATTTGATTCTTTAACGTGGATTTATGTATATATTTATATACCTCGAATATTGAATGGCTAAGAGATTTTGAAAGTAGTTTTTTTTCTTTTTCTTAAAATGATGTAAAAGAAAGAAGGGCGTTCAAAATGTGATGTGAATCTTGGAATACTTCAGATAGGATTAGAAAATAGGGGAAGGGTATTTTCTTATTGATTAATTCTGTACAAAGGGTACTAAAATATATAAATACTAGGACGGACAAAAAAAAAGGAAGGAATTAAACTAATTTCTTTTTTTTTGGTACATGAAAAACTAAACTAATCTAAATATATGATCCTAATTTACTAACATACAACAAATCTCCTAAAATCAAGCTATCATCATAAGTACCAATAAAACAAAATATAAACAGAAATTAAGTAAACTAAATCTATGTCATATCACCCTGTCATATCTTTATATAATTTATGCAACCTCCTCAAGTAAGAGAATACAAATTGTATGCATCAAAGCTTGTAACATATGTAAGTTATCTTTGGTGTCTGAAGATAATTTGTGAAAATAATGCTTAGCCAATAGAAATCACATCTTGTTAGTGTAGATTAGTTCTTAGTTATTAGTTTTAGAATATTAGGTAGACCATATTTATAGATTAAAAAAATGAGATAATAATTTATACAAACATAACTTTCTCATAAAATTAATCTCAATATATCTAATTTTTTCGTAAAAATCTAGATTAGAAGTAATGTGTAAGATTGTTTGGTTTTCAGAAAGGAGACTTAGAACACCTTCTTTATTGAAACACAATTCTTAAAGAAGGTATTTGGGTCATATTAACTCACATGATACTGTAATACTTAATCTCTAAGTATGTGTTTGAATTATAGTTAAAAAATTAAGTTGAGTTCAACTTATAACCTTTTAGACTTTAATTTAATTAAAAGTGATTTTCACTTAATTTATATTTAGATACTTTTATTTTAAAAGTATTTTTTTATCAAAATAGAAACTTGTTTGAATGATAATAATTAAAAGTACTTTTAAATATATAATTACTGAAATAGAAACAAATTTTATAATATGATATGAATATTATTTATTTCATTATTTTTTAGATATATATTTGAATTGATAATATATTATTATTATTATTATTATTAAAAATAGTGGGGATATTAAATTATAAACTATATTGAAATATTTTAAAAACAACTCAACAACACAAAGGGTTCAAAAGAAAAGAAAAATTAAGTCAAATTTATAAGTAAAAAAATAAAAAATAAAAAAAAGATAAAAAATAAAACAAGTTAACTCCTTAAATATAATTCGAAACCTCTTTGAATTATATAATATACTTTTTTTTTTTATGAAATTTAATAGTATACTATATTACTTAACCACTAAATAATTTGTTGTAAACAATGTTGATAAGTGTCTAATTGGTCTAATGAAAATATTAACTTAAGACACTTATCTAGCACAAATTTTTTGGATATAATGATAAAATTATGGCAAATCCATATGGAATCAAAAAGGGTCTCTTAATTGAAGTTATTATATGGAGTGATGATTTTTCTTATCAAAATTTTCCTTTATTTTGCAGATTTTGAAGATTGGAACAAGAAAAGAAGTCTAGAGGCAAACGGATTAGCCCTTTTAAAGGGTTGAGCGCTTTTAAGCCAGAGAGCTTAGCAAGTGCAACAGAGGAGAGGCGCTTAGCCGTTCCCAAGCGCTGAGCAGTTTTGTCCTGAATGAGTACTCTTTGCCTTCTAGGCGCTTAGCGGATTTCAAGCGCTCAACCCCTTTGCTTGCTTAAGGATGAAGGAGTCTCCCAGGCGCTTAGTCGTTAAAAAGGGCTCAGCCCTTTGGGTTACTTCATGATGAAGGATTCTCCAATCCGCTTAGTCATTTCCAAGCGTTGAGCAGTTCTTTCTCTTTTTTGCCCACTCTATTTTGATTCCAGCAACTATAAAAGGGCAGAGGAGAGAGAAAATCCATTATCAGAAGTTGCACGAAAAGAAGAACAGAGACAAGAAAGAAAATAGAGCACCTTGGAGCTCATGGGAACGCGGTTCTTCGGATGATCTTTTTCTTCTACCTTTCCTCTTGTTATTTTGTGCTTTCTTCTTCTATGGAGAGCTAAAGCTTTAGGGTTGGGATTGATGTAGTCATCAAACTCCTATGTATTCCTTTTTGATTCATATATATATTACATCTATTACTCAGTGTTAGTGATTTGTATTCTTTTCTTAATGCTTTAATAAACTGATCATTTATCTTTGATCTTGGATTCAGAATTTGGTTGGAAAACGTTTTCTGAATCTAGATTTGAAACAAATTACCTATTAGTTTTGAAAGCCAGGGATGATTTCGAAATTAATAGTTGCAACAAGTTCTGATTCTTAATGCAAGATATTTAATTGAATGAAGTAAAGAATCATTCATTGAGTTAAATATCTTAGAATTTCTTATGCCAAGGAATTGGGTCTGAATGAATATAGAGAACTCAATGACAATGAGTAATGGAATCATTTGCAATAATCATTAGGAATATATAAGAGGGAGATTGATGAAATTTAATCCCAACTTTTTCTCATATATGTTTTTCTTAAATTGAACTTGATTTTCGTTACTTAGTTTAATTTACCTCTCACTTCAAATATTCAACATGTGTGATCATTCAAGCTTTAAATTCACAAGTAACGACTAGTATAATAGAAATTAAAATCTACTTCATAAATCCTCGAGGATCGACAACCTTTATACTATATTACAGAGACTTGAGTGCGCTTGCTCGGAAAATCAATGTCTATAATGCACAATCCATTGAGGCAAAAGCAACAATATGTTGCTTTGGATAAAACGGACATTAGAAGTAAAAATAGCATTCGACTAAACCCAAAAAAAAAGGGTAATAAAAAAAAATGTAACTAAAAAGTTCAATAACATATGAAGGTTCGTTCAAGCATCTCAACGATAAATCAAATATATCTTAAGTAGATCTAGCAGCAATATTCCGGTTCTTACTTTTTCATAAAATTAGACTGTCTTCAACAAGAACACAATATCCTGACGTGATCATCTATCAATTCGGCAAGATGCTTAATATATACTTGTCACTACAACACAATTTCTAACAACATTTAAAAAAATATTATCTAATTATATATAATGGTACTAATTTATTTTTTAATATATTATATAATCCATATTATTAAAGATTTTTAATAATATTTTTACATAATTAGATAATATTTTTTAAATATTATCAAAGTGATGTTTTTTTTAACATTTTAATGATATTATTAAGTTTTTGTTAACTTTATAAAATGATAATTAGTTTTAATTTAGATATTTCTATCAATTATTATACTTTTATGTATCCTAATAAACTTCTAGGAATTTTTTAAGAGAAGGTTGAGGACAACCTTAATTAGGATCATTACTAATTATATATATCAAATATTAAAATTTATTTATTTTAAGTATAATTATATAATTATATATACTCTTTATGATACATTTATTTATTAGATGTGAGACTTTAATTATGGATAACAATTAAAGATGAGAAAAATATTTTTTTTACTTGATGTGGAATTTTAATTTTAAAAGCAATTAGAAATAATAATATTAAGATAAAAAAATGTTACTTATTTGTATTAACATTTGTCAAAAAAATGTTGCAAAATAATATATGGGACATTTTTTTATTTAATATGAGACTTTGATTTTTGAAAACAATTGAAAAGAATAATATTAAAATAAAAAATATTATTCTATTTATAGTAACATTTAAATTTTTTTTACAAAATAATCTATTTATTTAATATATAATAACATTTTAACAAATATAAAAAATAACATGTTATTAAAGAACTAAAATATAGTAGTGTGTATATATAATACAATTTTTATATGACCCCTGGTTATGTATACTAAACCTTTCTTAGGGGATTCTTTAATGTGTCTTAGAATTCTAACTACAATATTGCAATGACAATTCTGGAAATGATTGGAAACAATTGCAACAAACGAAATATATGGCAACATTAGGGTCAAATAATCCATTTTCTCAATTAATCTTTCATACCTTCCTAGATCAGAAAGGGGGTTTCCCTAATTAGGTAGCACCTTTGAATCCGTTGGAATATCAATTACTATCTCCCTACTTTAATATATATAATTATTTTTTTACTTTTTTCCCTTTATATGAGACTTTTTTATTTTTATAATTATTAGTTATATTAATTATATTTTTTTTCTAAAATACCCTTATTTAACTAATAATTCTTTTAGACAAAATAAAC